CTTCCTGCCCATCTCCACCGGAGCATCACGAGGGAAGAACACACTCCGAGAGGAACGGGTCCCACCGCTGCAACGGGAGCTGCAGGCAAGCCGGGGTGTCTCTCCCCGCCGAGGGTGGGACGGGAAAACGCACCGTGCCCCCGGGGAGGCTGCTGCTTGGCTCAGGGGTGGCTCCCAGTGATGCTGTCGGACTAAAATCCCTGCAGGGCCTGCTTGGAAAAACACCTTTCCTCTCTTTAAATCACTCCTCAGCAGCTGAGCACAACAAAACCCAACCCTGAGCTCAAAGCGGCAGACAACTGCCCCAAAACTTCACACCCCCGCCTTGGCAGGGGCACGCCGTTCACGTGGCAAGGGGCACAACCAGGGGCTCATCCGAGCTGCGTGGTCGCCACCAACCCACGCACACTTAAAAAGAATTTTAAAATATATATATAAGTCAAGATTGAAGTAATGGTAGCCTATACGAGGCTGATGCTTACCCCAGTTTAAATCACTGGAAGTGGAATTTAAATCACATAAAAAGGAAGAAGTAATACACATTGGCTAGTGGAGGGTTAAGGAAAGTCAAATCAGCAACCTGGGGAAAATTGCTAGTTCAGTATGTGCAACAAGAGCCAGTCAAAATAATCTTCCGGCAGCCATATATTTTTCTATAGGTGCCCCATATGTAAAATTACCTTTTGTTAGCAGAAAATCTGTGAGTTGGGTTCCCCAAGGGAACAGTGTTTGAAAATCACAGATGATTAAAAGATAATACACATCTGAGGGTGGTTTTTTGGCTTGTTTGGAGACCGAGATTGGAAGCCTGGCTTTGCAAGGGAGCTCAGTTTGTAAGCTCGGAGGGCGCGCAAGAAGGAAAGCCCAGCAGGGATGGGGCTGACTTGCTGATCCTGCCTTTGTTTAACAACCCAGGCAGCTGAAAACACAGAACATCTTTGTATGAGGAGAAGGCAGCACCCACTCAGGGAGTCTGGCATTTCTTCTGGACTTTTTTTTTTAATTTTATTTTTTTCTCTTCTTTTGGCCTATTTTCTGCATCAAGAGAATTTCAATTTCCCTCCAAAAGCAACCCGATACAGATCACGAGAAGGAAAAAAAAAAGTGGGGGAAAATGAAGTGTTGGCACAGCTTTTACTGAAGGAGATGCCTATAAACAGCTGTACTGGAGCATGTCATTCTTTCAGATAAAGGGTATATTTGTTATTTTCTAAGAGACTTTAAATTTAAACCCATAAGTTGGGTGTTAGGCCTATGCTCGGCTATCAGGTTGACACGTCCTGATTAACCAAGGAGACTTAACCTCTCAGAGTGCAGAAAGAGTTGATTATTTAAAATAAATCAAAGATTGTTTTCCGCTTCAGATCACACGGGTGGCCAGTTATTTTTAAGCCGATCCATGCAAACACATTTTGGGCTGCACTGGCAGCCGCCGGC